GTTAGTTAATAATGATGTTAGAGCTCAGATTCCCAAATCAGTTAGTGAAAGCTTACTTCGAAAAATGAAGGAAAGGGTCCAGAAGATTTATGATATCTTTAATGAGATCGGGATTGAAAAAATCAAACAAATTCAGTCTTTTACTACTATAACAATAGTAAATATATCCCAAGATGACATTGATTTTGTATTAGCCAAATTTTCGGTAATTTATGTCGATTTTAAAAAATAGAGCCAAAACCTCACTACTCTGTAATAATAATCTATTGTAAGCTCACGTGACGTTATGACAAGCTGTCACAATCTATGAAATAAAATTTAATCATGTTAGTATAAATGCGTCTAATTTTTTATTTCGTTAATAATTGAGTGTAAATTGCATATAATGTTATATATGTGATCGCGGAAAATGATTTATATATTGTGTCTAGTTAAAAATTTGCACAAATTGATTATAAGTTTTTTCCCATTCTTCCATAAGATCATCAAGCCATACAGTACTTAATCTACTTTTTAGTATACTGCGACATAATAATTATTCACCGACTAGCCTTTCCTGATCTGTTAAAAATTTATGATATTTTCTAGGGTCTTCCTTTCTCTTTATTCCACCTTGATAATAGCGTATATCTCTCTCCAGGTCACCACGGAAGCATCCCCCAACCCATCTATTTTTCTCAGCCTCAGTAATCACCGAAAATTTCTTGGGATCCATTCCATGTTCGATGGCATATTGGCGTAAGCTAGCCTCTGGCTGATAAAAGCGGGTTTTGTTAGGTACACTTACTTGAATTTCCAGTAAGCTCTGTATGGCGATTATAACTTTCTTTTGATCAATACAAAAAGGGCAATTAAGAAAATAGTGCTCATCTTTACTGAGACAGCTCCAATCACCCCCATATACCTAAACGTGTATGTACCTCTTTACATATCGGACATTTAGCTTCTGAATTAGTATATTTAAAAACATCTCAGTGCCACGCATTCGAATTAGTATATGACAAGAAAGGGAATCGTTTCTGTATTGCTTTAAAAATTGTACTTTTCTCTTCCGGAAACTTAGAAATTTTGATAACACAGTCCTGTGAAAGGTGATTATCAGTCTTTTCGGGAGTTTCAGACTTTATCCAGGGATCGAGCCCAGTTTTTTTCTTATATCTTTTATATAAACTGGAACGAATTTCATCTGTCAATGGACTTGGTAGACCAGATAATTTATTGTGCCATTTGTAATAGTCGTCAGTTAATGTTTTCTTGTCAGAAGCAGTCACAAGGTGGGTAGATAAACAAGACATGTTATCATTGTATATAAATCAATTTAAATCCCTGCATTGGATAACATAAAAAATATATTATATAGGTCCGATCTTTATTGTATAATATATAGTACTTTATTTCTTTACGTTTCCTTACCAAAGGCAATTACAAAGTTCATACAACCATTTCTGTGTCAATGTACCGGATCATGTCAATTTCAGATGCTTCACATTTAATATAGTATGATCCAGTTTCATAATTGCCCTCAATACCTTCTTCATCTTCATGATTTAACTCGCATATTGGGCATAATGACTCAGCAGTAATCCCATAATAATCGACATCTTCATTATTATATTCATAATATAGATCGGGATATTGCTCTAATACTTTCCTACGAAAGTAAACATGGTCATGAATTGGATTAGATGATACACTTGCATCGGTTGATTCCTCTGAAATCGTTTCTGATAAATTTTCCGGTGATACCTTCTCAGGAAATGCACTTACCTCAGTTTCTGATAAAGTTCTCTCTTTCTCACCTACCTCAATTGATTCAACAGATGTACTTACAATTTTGGTTGCATGATTTTGGCGACGGACCATCGTTGAAATTTCAGTCATGTGATTTGATTCCTCCTCTTCTATATTGAACTCATCACGATCAGAAATATTATCGATA